GCGTCTACCTGGGACACACTTGAAGGGGCAGGACCCTGAGAGGGGAAGGGGGTCTACCGGGGGGGGACCTGGTACAAGGAAGTGCGGTGGCGAGGGGAGGGAAGGAGTGCGTTAGGGGAAGAGGCGGTAGTAGGGGACTGACTTGTCGAACGTGACGTCCTGAGAAGATAGAACACGACGAGAGGAGGGGTGGTAGAACTGCCACCCTGGTGCGTCAGGGGGGAAGCCAAGGAAGACACAAGGAGCAGCACGAGGGGACAGCTTGTCCGCAGACAAGTCGCGGACAAACGCCCGAGATCCCCAGACACGGAACGTCAACGCATCGCCAACCTTCCCCGTCCACAGCAAGACTGGGGACATCGCGGGCCGAGAGACCCGGGGGTGAAGGTTGAGCTGATGCGCCGCGTACCTCACCGCAAACGGCCACAGAAAATGGGGGGCAGCCGCATGCATCATGGACGTACGAGCAACGTCCATGACCATGCCCATGCGGCGCTCAGCAATCCCATTTTGCTGTGGAGAGTCCGGAAGGGTAAATGTCTGGCGGATGCCTCGCGCACAACAGTAGGCTCGTAGAAGGCAAGAGGAGAACTCTCCAACGCGGTCAGAGTGCAGACGCAGAACAGGAAAGTCCGAGCCGAAGCTCCTCCTGAGCTGGACACGAGCTGCGCGGATCCACTCGATCAACACCTCAGTGACATCACCCTTGCTGCGCAAGGGGAAGACCGTGGTGTAATGCGAGCCGCCCCTCGACACAAGGGACACAGAAAGGACTAGGCCCCGAAAGAAGGGGAGGTAGGGACTGGGGAAGACCAGAGACAAGGACACGGGAAGCCATGCCCGGAAGACGAGGCAGGGAGGGGTGGCCAAGACGGTGGTGCCACAGGAGAGTCTCGTGAGACAGGAGGCGACACGAGCAGGGGGCAGACTCAGGAGCAGACCTGGACGCTGCAGGAAACACCTGACCCGACGCAGCGACCTGGCCACACGCACGGACAGGAGCAGACTCAGTGGTCAGGGTGTAGAGGCTCGACCTCGGCCGACGCGAAAACGTGGCCAGGTGATGGCCCGTGCGGGCGTCCGAGCAGTGGGTCACCCGCTGACTTGCACGAGTAAACTCGTGAACCCCCGCATCCTGCAGGTCAGCACCACTTACCAAGTTTGTCGAGAACAAGGGGAGGTAAAGACCAGACAAGGTGCCCGAGGGGGCAGCCGGACACGGGAGGACTGTGGAGAAGTGAGAGAGGACAGGACCCCCAGAGGGGTCAGCTAGAGAGACTGCAACTGGCCGACTAAGTGGCGCGAGTGTGGTGCGGTCTCGAAAGAAGAAGCGAGAAGCCCCCGAGTTAAGTGTGAAGGTGAGGAAGGCCGAAGCCGACACGGTACCTGAGAGCGCAGCCTCACCAGTACCTGAGGGCGCAGACGCGCTGGCACCTAGAGCAGCAGCCTCACTCTGACCTAGCGCAGCAGTACCAATGCCCGGATCGGGCAGGAAACACCGGTAACAGTCACCCTCATCACTAATAGTCACAGCATACATGGCAGCAAGGATAGCATCAAGGTCAAGATCATAGATAGCTACACGTGCCCTAGACAGCTCTCCCCAGCGGGGGATCTCACTAGCCTCGGGGAACTGCTGAAGCCAAGCGTCCGTCAGGCGGCCAAAGCAGCGCTGGGTGGGGTGGGCACCCCCACACTGCTCATCCGCGCGGTCGCTGGAGCGAAGGACGTAGGTGCACGGACCAAAACCCCGACCACGCTGACGCTGCGTGTACCAATCACGGAGATGCGGAGGAGGGGGGATGTCCCGAGAACGCTGCTGCTGCTGCTGCTGGCGCTGACCACCACCAGAGCCGCTCCGCTGCGAGGCACCACCCCTGTCGTTATACTAACACAATAGGTAGTTAGGAATAGTTCGGCCTAGGCTTAGTAGCCTAGGCCAAGGAGGATCGAGTTGGTCGTGCAAAGGGTGTCGAGAGAATTTTGGGAAAATGTGTTGTTCACTATAGATTTGCAATTACATATATGCGAGTGAACAAAGGTGCACCACCTAACACAGTTTGTAATAACTACACTAACTAAAGCTACAGGCAGTTACAAATATAAACTCTGACACTCCCCCATAACTGCCTGCAGTAGGAGTTTGTGCATAACACAACCTGGAGGGGTACACAAATAGCAGAAGCAGCTGGTAGGTAGGTAGGTAGTACAGCAGCAAAGGTACAGCAAGAATTCCTGCTATCTCCTCACCCTCCCCCTCCCCTTCCCCCTCCCCCTCCCCTTCCCCCTCCCCCCCACACTACTGTAGAAGCAGCAGAGGGGGGGAGAGAGGAGAGGTGGAGGGACGGCTGCTGGACGATCTTACACCTGCCACCCCAGTGCCACTCCCCCAGCACCCCCACACCCTCACACCCTCCCCCCAGCGGCAGCTGCAGCAGTGGGAAAGAAAGGAGGAGGAGGGGAAGGGAAGCATACCACCCGTCACCCCAACACCCGCCACCCCCATACCCTCCCCCCCACAGCTGCAGGGAAACGAAGGAGGAGGGGGTGGGCAGGGAGAAAGCCGCAGAGCAGCTACTGATGGTTGGCGCGGTTAGGTCAGGGGCGGCTTCAGGGAGTGTAGGTGCGGGGTGAGGTAGTGGCGGCTGCACCGAGTGCAGGAGCGAGGTGGTGCAGGGGCGGCTGCATCAAGTGCAGGCGCTAGCGAGACACTGCCGAGTGCGCCAGGGGCGGGTACGCGGCGGCTCAGGTAGGTAGGCAGGTAGTGCACTGTCGCACGCCACGGGGCGCACGACGGTGCCCAGCCCGTCGTGCGCCCCGTGGCATGCGACGGGCATTGCAGGTAGGGAGGTAGTTTAGTTCCCCGTTGCACACCACAGGGCGCACAACGGGTAGGGTAGAGGTCACTCGCCATCCAAGGGCGGGACATTTAATAAAAATCGAAACGCAAACCTAGGCGCGCGACCGGAAAAGAACTGCAGCGGAAGCATACGGCGAGCCCACAGGCCAGGACGAAACTAGCTCTGATACCATGTCGTTATACTAACACAATAGGTAGTTAGGAATAGTTCGGCCTAGGCTTAGTAGCCTAGGCCAAGGAGGATCGAGTTGGTCGTGCCAAGGGTGTCGAGAGACATTTGGGAAAATGTGTTGTTCACTATAGATTTGCAATTACATATATGCAAGTGAACAAAGGTGCACCACTTAACACAGTTTGTAATAACTACACTAACTACAGCTACAGGCAGTTACAAATAAAAACTCTCACAAACCCGACCAGCTCCACCTCCTCCACCACTGCCGCCTCCACCTCCGCCACCACCGCCGCCTCCGCTCCCACCGCTACCGCCGCCGCCGCCTCCGCCTCCGCTGCCGCCACCACCACCTCCACCCCCGCCACAATTCCCACCGCCACCCACACTCCCTCCGCCGCCTCCACCACCACCCCCACCATCCCCGCTAGCTCCTCCCGCGCCCTTGCCCCCCTTGCCCTTGCCAGAGCGGCGTCTCCCGCTAGGGGCAGCCATGACAACAGTAGACCAGCGGTGCAAGCAGTAGGGGAAGTGCAGTGCAGTGACAGAGGGGCTGTGCTCACCGGACAGGGCTGCTCGGGCGGCTCGGCTGTAGGGCGGCTCGGCGGCTCGGCTACTGGGCGGCTCGGCTGCACGGCGGCTCGGCTGGTGGGCGGCCGGGCAGCTCGGCTGCAGTGCGGCTCGGCGGCAGGGCGGCTCGGCGGCGGGGCGGCTCGGCTGCTCTGCTACTGGGCGGCTCGGTTGTGCTGCTGCAGGGCGGCGCAGCAGTTGGCGACTCGGCTGGGCGAGGCAGCTGGGGCGGCGCTGCAGGAGTTGAGAGCGGCAGGGCCGCTGAGAAGGGCGGCTGGGCCGCAGAAGACGAGCGGCGGGGCCGCAGGGGAAGGGCGGCAAGGCCGTCGATTAAGGCGGCGGGGCCGCTGAGTACGGCGGTGGGGCCGCAGGAGCAGGGCGGCGGGCCGCGGAGTAGGGCGGCGGGGCCGCAGGAGAAGGGCGGCGGGGCCGCTGAGTAGGGCGGTGGGGCCGCAGGAGAAGGGCGGCGGGGCCGCTGATTAGGGCGGCGGGGCCGCTGTAGAAGGGCGGCGGGGCCGCTGAGTAGGGCGGCGGGGCCGCTGTAGAAGGGTGGCGGGGCCGCTGAGTAGGGCGGCGGGGCCGCTGAGCAGAAGGGCAGTGGGGCCGCTGAATAGGGCGGCGGGGCCGCTGAGGAGGGCGGGGCCGCAGTGACGGGCGGCGGGGCCGCGAAGACGGGCGGCGGGGCCGCAATGCGGGCGGCGGGGCCGCACTACGGGCGGCCGGGCCGCACTAACGAGCGGCGAGGCCGCACGAACGGGCGGCGGGGCCGCTGAGGAGGGCGGGGCCGCGAAGACGGGCGGCGGGGCTGCACTAACGGGCGGCGGGGCCGCTAGGGGAAGGGGGCCGCTAGGGCGTAGGGGCCGCTAGGGCGGCTCGACGAGGTGAGAGCCCGGAGCGCGACTCGGGCGGAGCGTGCTTCGGGCAGGAAAAAATCTCGATGTGGTGGGCCCTAGGCACAATTCCCACGGGGGAACCTGCTCTGATACCATGAGGAAAGTAGAACGAGAATGGAATGAACTATGAATGGAAAATATACAAATATGCAACCCTAGCAATGTGTACCCCATATGGGCTACCCCACTATAGCCTACACAATATTGTAATATGTGACCTAGCACAAATGTATAAGCTATAATGTTCTGACATCGCCACTTACCGACCACTGAGCGTGCACACTTTAGCCAGTACAAGAGTGCTCAGACCTTGTACGACGCTGTAGTTGCACGCTACTCTTCCCCTGCCACTGCTGCACTAAGCCGCCTCATGTTACCGTACCTCTTCCCTGACCTTGCTGCCTTTCCCACTATTGCTGACCTCATTACACACCTCCGCACTAGTGACACTTGCTACAGCGGTGCGCTTCCTGCTGAGTTCTGCACCAAGAATCCCCCCCCCCCAATGTACATCACCCTCTACTACATAGTCACCTGGCTCCCTCACTCTCTTCGCTTAGTCAGGGACCACTTCCTCTCATTTTGCCCCACCACTCTCACCGTTGAGCTCCTCGAGGAGCACCTCCTAGCAGCAGAGAAGAGCATAGTCGTTGTAGGAGCCTCTCGTGGTGACCCTCGCACCCCCGTCTTTGAGGGATGTTCCCCCTCCCCCCTCTTTCCCTCTATTGCTTCTGTTGCTACTGCCGACCTCGTTGGTTTCTACGGGGTCTGCGTTGCGTCTGCCCCGAGCGGGAGACGCCGCACCGGCAAGGGCAAGGGGGGCGAGGGAGCTGGAGGGGCTAGCGGGGGCGGTGGAGGTGGTGGTGGAGGCAGTGGAGGGGGTGGGGGTGGTGGTGGGAGTGGTGGTGGGGGTGGCGGCGGCGGTGGCAGTAGTGGAGGCGGCGGAGGCGGCAGTGGTGGCGGAGGGAGCAGAGGCAGCGGAGGTGGCGGAGGCGGAGGAGGTGGTGGAGGTGGCGGAGGCGGTGGCAGCGGCGGCGGTGGAGCTTGTGCGGACTTTGCGCAGAGGAGTGGGTCCGGTGGTGGTCCGCGCTAGTAGTAGCAGCGCGGTCGTTTTAGGCACATTGGAGCCTACTGTGACTATAACAAGTGGTATTAGAGCCTCTTGGAGCAGTTTCGACAATGGCTGGACCTGAGGAAAGGGGTGACAGAGGTGCTGGTGGCAGAGGAGAAGCCCAAGCTCAAGGCCAACCCCGTGATTCAACCACGGCGCCCGTGCAACCAAGTGTTGGCCCATCTAGGGATGAGCCTAGAGTGTTTGGCCTTGACAAGTTCAATGGTGACAACTTTGCTGAGTGGTCCTTCAGAATGAAGAACATATTTGACCACTATGACCTGCTGGAGGTAATGGAAGGAACGGAGAAGCGTCCCGAGAACGACCCAGAGAAGAGCCCGTGGTTGCGGAAGAGCGCACAAGGCTACCTCCTACTTGGGCAAGCGTTGGGGAGCAGCCAAATCCGTCACATCAAGCCTTTCCAGCGTGAACCAAAGAAGGGACCAAATGCATGGGCTGCTCTCAAGGGTGTACACACTCCTGCAACAGCGGCGGTAGCTGTGGTGTTGGAACGGCAAATGGCGACGTTACGAATTGAAGAGGATGAAGCAGTTGAAGAAGGGGTGCAGAAATTCTTCGACTTGTTGACGCGGCTTGAGGGAGCGGACTTGAACTATATTGAGCTCCAAAAGAAGACCAAGTTGCTGGCCCTACTCCCTGAATCATGGTCCTCGCTCATCATCAACCTGAATCATGACTTGCCCCGCCTCTCGCTCGAAGATGTGAAGCGAGCTATCCTTCAAGAGGATTTCCGCCGCCGTGAGTGGGCGAGTGCAGATGGCGCTGGGGCAGCGAGCATCAGCCGTGGATATGGTCGAGGAAGAGACAGAGGACAAGGGGGAGGAAGGTTTGGTGGCAGCAACTTCGGCTGAGGCCGCAGGAGTGGCTGTTATGGGAGCGACGACAAGAGCTACGGGCGCGGTCGCGGCCGATTCGACGGCGAATGCCATTATTGCCACAAGAGCGGACATATGTGGCGTGATTGCTACAAGCTCCTTGAGGGTTGGACCCCTGCTCAAGTCCAGGAAGGTAGAGGAGCAGGAGGAGGGAGAGGAAGAGGCCGTGGAGGCCGTGGCGGTCGCGGTGGCCGAGCTGCAAACATGACGAGCGGAGACAATGACAAGGACCCGAGCAACGATCGGTACCCGGGTCTTTTCTACTTCGTGTCAACGCAAGTACCGACTGGTCCAGAGAAGGATGAAGGCTTTGAGGAGCCAGCAGCTGTGGGGAAGGTGACCCTACACCCTCCGGACTATTGGGTGATCAATAGTGGCGCTACCTATAGCATGACACCTCGCCCGGACTTGCTCACCGAACTCGAACCGTCCCCAGTGAAGCATGTCGCATCGGCTTTGGGGCAGCGAGCGGAGATGAAAGGCATTGGCAAGGCCATGTTTAAGGGTGCTGATGGGAAGATGGTGGGCCTCAAGAATGTGCTTTGGGTGCCCAGCCTTGCTGCCAACCTGATTTCCGTGCGGCGGTTGGCAAAGGCCGGCATGGACACGAACTCGAAGGGAGCCAAGACCTACACCGCAAGGCTTGGCAATCGGATTCTTTGGGATCTTCTTGAGGATAGAGATGTCTACAACGAGATGTGGCAGATCCCTGTGGTCCTAATGCCTAAGGAGAGGCAAGTGGCAGCAAGCGTCACCACTAAAGTTGGAGCGGTTGGTAGCGGCGATTGCGCGGACGGTCGCGCTAAGGAGAAGGAGCCCAAGAAGTGCAAACTTGGAGGGACCAGAAAGCTTGGTGAACCTATGGAGAAAGGTGCAGCAGCCAAGGAGCAGCAAAAGGGTGAGAAGAACCCCGAGGCAGCAGTGGAGGAGGACTACGGAGAGAGAATGTGGGGCGCTATTGCGAGCGCGGCATTCTCCAATCCAACTTCGGCTACCAGGGAGTGTGATTGGCTCACCTTGCATCGGCGCATGGGGCATGTGGCCCTTCCCATCCTGCAGCAGCTGTGAAGAATGAGATGGTTGCTGGCATACGTGTGAAGGGGGGGCCCAATGAGGTACTTGGCTGCCCGACGTGCATGCAAGCCAAGTTCACCCGATTCCCGTTCTCTAGTTCGGAGGCGACGGCTAAGGCACCACTTGATGAGGTGGTGATGGACGTGGTGGGCCCCTTGAAGCTTGAAGCTACTGGAGCTGAGTATCTTCTCACCATTGTCGGCGTCTACACCCGCATGACTTGGGTGTATGTGCTGGCCAAGAAGAGCGACGTGGCTGAAACGTTGAAGACGGATTGGTTCCCGATGGTGGAGCGGCAACAAGACCGTCTAGTCAAGTCAATCCGCACCGATCGAGGGGGGGAGTTCTTGAGCAAGGAGTTTGGGTTTTGGCTGAAGAAGAATGGTATTTGGCACTCCCTCACCATGCCATGCTCCCCTGCAATGAACGGCATCGCCGAGCGAGCGAATCGGACGATTACGGAGGCGGCATGCGGGTTGCTCATTGAAGCCGGGCTACTCGACTATTTCTGGCCTGATGCGGTGCGGAGCGCGTGTGTGGCCAAGAACAGAGTTTTGACTCATGTGGGAGCAGACAAATGGGTGCCCTATGTGGAGTGCCTTGGAAGAAAGCCAAAGGTGGATATGCTTCGGGTGTTCGGGTGCATGTGCATGGCCCTCGTGCCTAAGCATCTTTGGCACAACAAGCTTGGTGCCAAGGAGATATGGGCTGTACACTTGGGCATGGCTCAAAACAGCAAAGGGTGGCTTCTTTGGGACCCATTCACCAAGAAGTTCATGGTGAGCAGGGACTGCAAGTTCATGGAGAACTTCATGTACAAGGATTGGAAGGCGGAGAATGAGGCGAAGATAGGCGTGCGGTTTGGAGAGGTGAAGAGTTCCGGTTTGGAGCATGTGGAGCTGCCTTTGGAGCTGAGCAGCGGCAGCACAACCACGAGGCAATCCTCCCTTGTATGGGGGAGAGGAGGCCAATGATGCAGAGGAAGAAGAGGAGGAGGTGCAGCAAGTGAGCGAGCGTGCACCGTCACTCCCTTCCCGCACTACATGTGCTCCACGGATTCGAGCCACACCGCAGCAACACCAAGGCCTTCAAGTCCCTGCAGCTGAGGAGGAAGGAAGGGGGAAGAGGAGAGTTCAACCCCCTAATAGGCTGACCTATGATGCACTGGGAAAGCAGGGCAAGACAGCCCTGGCCGGAGCGGCAATGATGGTCGGAGACGATGAGGAGAGTGACTACGAGGAGTGTGCCTTCGCGTTCTTCTCTCCGGTGGAGATGCCGGGAGAACCAGCAACTCTCAAGGAGGCTTTGGAGAGTAGTGATGCTGAGGAGTGAAAGAAGGCCATGGAGAGTGAGCTGAAGAGCATTGAGGAGAATGACACATTTGAATTGGTGGAGCTACCGGAGGGGCGTACGGTGATAACGTCCAAGTGGCTCTTCAAAATCAAGTCGGATGCCAACGGCAAGATCGAGCGCTACAAGTCTAGGCTTGTAGCCAAGGGGTACCAGCAGAAGGAGAAGGTGGACTCCAAGGAGCTGTTTGCCCCTGTGGTGAAGCCGACGACGCTGCGAACCCTATTCGCGGGAGCCGCCATCAAAGGATGGGTAGTAAAACAAATGGACATTGTAACGGCATTGATTAGGCGCAGCCAGAGGGGCTTGACGATGCTAGTCGCAGAGTTTGGAGGCTGAAGAAGGCCCTCTATGGGCTGGAGCAGCCCCTAGGCAATGGTACATGAAGCTGCGCGAAGTGTTGGAGGGGATCGGCTTCACTCCCTCAACGGCCGATCACTCCTTGTTCATGCTTGGCGAGGGGGAGCACAGGAGCTTCATGGTGGTGTACGTGGATGACATCCTCATCTTCTCACCCTCTTTTGACCTTGTGAAGAAGGTGATGCTGAAGCTGCAAGAAAACTTCAAGTGCAAGTCCCTTGGTGACGTGAACTTCTACCTTGGACTCCACATCGAACGAGACGTGGAGAAGCGGAGCATGCGAGTGCACCAACGGAAGTACCTGGAGGCGTTGGCCGCCAACTTCGGCCAGAGTGAAGGTCATGTGGCTACTCCCTTTCCCTCTGGGTTCAAGTGTGTGAAGGGGCCAGAGGAGGAGAGCGTTGGAGAAGAGGAGCGGCGCCGTTTTCACTCGTTGGTGGGCAGCCTCGTGTATGCGGCGGTAAACACCCGACCGGACGGCGCGTTTGCTACCGGGCAGCTAGCTAGGGTTGTGCAATGCTCTAATGAGGAGCAGGTAGTAGCTGGAATGAGGGTGGCCAAGTATCTTGGCCAAACACGGACCGTGAGAAAACTGAAACGAGAATGGTTGAACTAAGGAATGAAAGTGGTACAAATATGCAACCCTAGAAATGTGTACCCCTTATAGGCTACCCCACTACAGCCTACACAACATTATAATTTGACACACCCCCAGAGGCAAAGTGGGGGAGAACAAGGGGTCACAAGACCAGTCAAGCAAAGCAAAGCAAAGCTCAGGGTGGATCACAAAGTCACCACACATTCCGAGCACAAGTTCAATGCCAAAAGGCCAGTTCACATACAGGGGCACATATATATATATGTAGAAGGCTAAACAAGTAAGAGCAGGAGTATATATATGTGAGAGTATAAGCAAGGTCAAGAAGTGAGCAAGTGAGGCAAAACAGGCACAAGACCAAGCTGAGTACAGAAGCGCTGAGGATCACAAGGCGCAAGTGCCTTCGTGAAGATATCAGCAGTGTTGGCCTCACAGGCCACGTACGCAAGTCACAACTGACCACGCTGCTGCAGCTATCGAGCAAGAAAGTAGCGGAGAGCAATGTGCTTCGTTCTGTGCTCAAGACTCTGCTCCCGACACAGGGCCAGCATGGCCTTGTTGTCTACATACAGCACTGGAGGAGAACGAGGCGGCTCTCCAAGGTCGGTCAGCAGGTAGGTGACCAGCGAAGCTCCTGAGCGGCCATGGCTCTTGCTTAGATCTCAGCCTCACAACTGGAGCCGAGAACCGAAGACGAGCGAGTA